CTCGCAAGGTAACATAAACTAAACAAAAATTAGAAGGGATGGTTTCAATTGTCAAGCAGAGCATTGGCGATGCGATTAGGGCTGATTGGTGTCTTTTATCTGCCATCAGAAAATCCCATCGTATCGAAAAACATAATTTATCTTCCAAATTGATCAAAGTATATTTGAAAATAGAAATTCGGGATTTTGTCTAGTTCCGACCAGCGTTTTATTCCAACATGAACCACTGTTCTCCCATATTCTCGGTATTAACTCAGTTTTCAAAAAGTCTATGTCAAGATTTTGCTTTACCAAGATTGGAACATTTGTAGTTAAAAACCGAATTCATGATCAGTCCATTTGAACACTATAGACTGCATGCGTGAATGGGAATAGTGCTAGATTGCATCCCTTGATCAAGGAGTTAGATGATGCAATCTGGGTGATTTGCAGGTTACAGTTTCAGCTGCTCCACTGGCACCATTGACTGACTGAGAGCCATTCAGCCTCTAGAAACTATAGCCAGTTGGGTTAGAAATACGCCGTTGCTTTTGCATGCACTTCTAGGAAGAATAATGTGTTTCTCACGAGCAAAGACTTGTATGTGCAGTAGCAGCCCCATACATTGGTAGTGTCGCTTTCTTTAAAAGCGTAACTAAATCATAAATGAGGGTAATTGAAAAACGCGGTAGCATATCGTACTAGGAAGCAGAACTTTTCAAAGATTGACTGGAGAATGTCATTGTTAGAATAGGGTGCCATTTTCTCTGCCAAGGTATAGCGATACCCCTGCTGGTTATGGGGAACTTGCGATGTGAACAACCTTGAACTTGCTAACTTCTTCCTCTGAACTATAGTGACTGTTATGTTTGCATACATACATGTAGATTGAACATATACGAATGAAATAGTGAATGGGTGTTCGTTGTTTAGATAGTTGATGGGATGTGATGAGGAGTGGTTCGGAATGGAGTTAAATTTAAAGGAACTTGACAATATTAATGCTTTTACATCCTCCCGAACCCCTTCTCACCATATCTCTGTCACATCTAGGCAAAACACATTCTTCCAAACATTATCTGTTATCGATGTGTTTTTATTGCATGTACGCAGATGCTTTTTTCGAAGGAAGAAGGTATCGAAAACAAGCTTGTTTCCCACTTGTGTTTTGTTCCATCTGAGGCATGTTAACAACCTTCAGTGCAAAACGAGAAGTTTATCAACAAATTAACCAAGCTGTAGAGACGTGTACGTGTATGTATTGCACACTGGTTTGATTAAGTGACGAGAGTGTGTGTGTGTGGCGATGGGGTGGGGTGGGATGCCACGTTCGAAGTCCAAATCACCACGGGTAATGTCATTTTCGGACTAATCAGTGGTTTTTAGTTGTATGGAAAGAAAAAAGGAACAGTAATTGTTTTATGAATCACAACCCAAAAGATAAGGTGCTTAGCAAAAAACATACTTTTGATTGGATGAAGGTTAGCATTGGATTCACCAATTAAACCAAATTATTTAAGTAATAAAAAAATTAAATACAACGGCTTCCCTTCAATGTTCCCCTAAGGGCAAGAAGAAGCATCATAGTTACGGGAAGCTTATTGGTTTTTTTAACTCTTGCTAATCTCATCCGCTGTGCACATGTATTCCGTGCACCGTTGTTTAGAAGTGACAGGTTTGCAAATCTATGTAAGCCAATTAATTTTCTGGCTGCCTGCTCTCTCTCTCTCTGCCGCTTTGAGTCTGACTGCTGTCCGTTTGCACTGGTTACCATCCATTCTGTCGAGCGAATCCAGTTCGAGTTTTGGCGAGCTTTGATCTCTGTAGTGATTTCTATCTCCCGTAACTGTTCGCTTGTTCACAAACCTTTCTCTGTCATGTCACGAAACCTGAGATGGATGTATTGTACAGCAACCAAAACACCCCTGATCTTAAGCATAAATAAAGTACAGTCTCTTATAGATGAACTCCTGTAACGGAATGAGAATTATCACCAACACACGAGAACTTTACCCAACGAGTACCAGGAATTCACCAATAAACCTGAGAATGCTATCAGCATGATAGAATAGAATACCAAAATCAAATTTAACTAATCTAGCCACACGGTACCGCTAAACTTATAAACAGAAAATCTTTGGCTGGAACGGGTGGTTCTCTCGTTGTGTGTGTATTTAGAACCCTAAACATAGTGTTATCTTTTTTGACACAACAACTGTGACGTTTGGATAGACAGCTCTTTTGGAGCCAGTCCATTGAAGAATCAATGCTATGATTCAATGTTTTTGTAAGTAGGTTAGATGCTACTAGCCGCGACAAACGTGACTTGATAGTCTTTATAGAATATTTCAGTATAAGTTGTATGTGAATGACTCAACAAAATTTTCCTGGAAGCACCCGACCGGTTTCGCGATTCTTGCCGCTCGTCAAGCTTGCGTATCCGGTAATCTTTTGTCAGTTCAATCATATACTTGTACCCAGGAAGTGTGTCTTCGATGCAATATTGTTATCTAACCATTGGGACTCCGGCCGCGAATGGATGGCGAACACGGGCTATAGAACCACTTGTTGAAGGCTCTGTTGAAGGCTCGCGCTTTGGTTAGAGCGGATGAACACGAAGAGGAAGAACCCACGACACGAAGACGGTCACTAACTTCATTCAAATAGTCACTTTTCTTCATGTAATGTACATGAAATGTTTACACCTTGTATAATTTCGGTTTGTGGTGAAATCCAAATGCAAAAAGGACCACAAAGTGTTTGATGTTTCCAACTATCTCACTTATTGTAGTTAATGACCAACGTCACACAGAAAGGGTGTGGTTAATATCTGTTTGGAATGCAGATGCTAAAGGGAGCTATTGGTATGTATGCATGTATGTACGTAAGTGTACTGACATAAAACGGAGATTGTGTAAAGAAAAAAATACATTACAATTTATTTCCCAAAAGTGTAGATGCATATTCCCTTTTGTAATCGCACTCTTGTTTCGTTGTATTCCACCTGTTGCATTCATCTACTTGAAAATATTTATGCCGCATACTCTGAAAGCTGAAAGCTACTGCAGACGTTCTTCTATATTGTTTTCTCATGTTACCAATATTTTCCAACGAATGCAGACCAAACATTGCTGTTGTGGTAGTTCAACGCCCACAGTCCATTAATCAAATTCGACAAGCAATGAAACGCGAGTCTGGGCACGCTACTGCAAGCTGTACACAAAACAGAGTTGGTTTCACTGATCATGATTTCTACTGTGAATTAGTCGTGTAATTGAGACATGAGCTAAAAAGCTGGGAAGAACCAGATGGTTGTTTTGACCGGGTTGCGTCTCATCAACAGTGCGAATCCATTGATCCAACTGGGGATCGAACCCGGGACCTCAAGGACAGAACGCAAGCATACTAACCACTCAGCCAGCGGGCAGCCAATGAGAATATTCATTTTGAATATCCAAGATAAAGCATAACCCATCTTGATGAGCTTGTTGTGAGTATCGGTCCTCGTTCGTCTCAGTACCAGTTGAGTGGCCCGACTGGGTAGTGTGCTTGCGTTCTGTCTGTGAGATCCCGGGGCTCGATCCCCCAGGTGAGTCGATGAAGTCGCACTGCTAATGAGATGCAACCAGGTCAAAACAGCTGTCCAGTGCTTCCAAGCTTTTCAGCTCACGCCTTACCTACACGACGAACTTACCGTATAAACAAATAAAATCCTCCATTATCATCATGTAATATTAGGGCTTTATCAATTCGGATCAAATTATTTGACAACGACCGGTATGTTTTGAAGTGCGCTTAAGCAAGCTGAGCTGTCAGTTTATCAAGAGATCGAAAGAGCACCGTAGCATCCGTCATTAGAACTGCTCAGTGCTCGAGTGTTCACTCTTCTCATCACAGATGTTTCGTAAAACATATTTGTGTGTTCTGGCGACAGTTACTTTCAGAATTGCTTGAATGGAAATACACTGGAGAAGCATGCGATTTGTGGATCAACTTTTAATTACAGCGTGCTTGTCACTGAGACCCACGGCGGTACGTCTGCGCGGATGCGGTTGGACAGAAAATAAGTCGGATAATGTGTTTATGCTTTAAACCACTTTTCTTTTCCTAAACCATTCGCTGAATTCTGAATAGTTGTTCAATTAAAAAGAACGACAGAATAACCTATCTGTCAAATCCTGAAATAGTTGAAATCATGTATCATGTACAAGGATTGCTGGAACCTGTGCAACACCGTGTCTTTCATCCGTCCTCTGTTGCCGACAGATTCACGGAGTTCTTCAAAATAAGCAATGCTTCGATCTCATGTGAGGATTAGTTGCGAATTTTGAAAGAGGTACAATGTTTCGTGAATCAAGTTATGGTGCAGTCCTCCTGAACTCAGAGGTCTGTTGACGGTTCTTCCGCCATGGGATTTATACATGCGGAGTTTATTTATTTCTGTATAATTGGTACGTTTTCTGTGTTATATAATTGTGTGTAAATTTCGCATTGTGCACAAACAGAGCACATAGAGAAAGCATTCTATTTAAAAGGGATTTCTCTGGGGACAAGGTGCAACAAATGGACGAATCAAGAATACTTTCGAACAAAAAAGAAAAGAAACCTTGAATTGTTCAGAACCTTACGCGCGCGCTCTCTCTCTCGTTTTCATATAACATAGTAAGACGAGGCAGATATAGCAAATCGTTTAAGGTGAGAAGGGAAAATTTACCTGAAAGTCTGTCCTGGAATCTTCCTGAGCATGTGGACTTGACCCCGGAGACTCTTTCCTGGGGGCAAGTGCTGTCACGGCAAGATCAGTTGCATTATCCAAAGCCTTGCTCTCGTTCGGATGGTCACGCGATGAAAAAAAATCTATGAACGCCGGGTCCGCGGTTGTCTGAGGCTTGTTGGTACCAGCTTGTCGACTACTGTCCACGGATGAATGACCTCGGAGGCTGTTGTTTGATCGGTTTAGAGCCAGGTAGGAATGAGCACTTGGCATGGATGGGAACATGGGACGTGGTTCATCATTCTGGTTCAGGGAACAATATTCAGATTGGGAACTGGCATGTTGGAAGAGTTCTTGACAAGAGTGGTGACCGCAACGGGGATGATGTTGATTCTGTACCATGTGAAATAACTTGGCATTAATGCTTTCCAGATTGGAAACACGATTTTTCAAATAGCGACAATCCTCCCGGATATCCTTTAGCATACAGGTGAGAAATCGGGATGAAAAGGAGGATGAAAATGATAATTAACCGGGAATTTTAAAAACAAAACAGTGCAGAACTACAGACTGAATAAATCCAAATTTGATCTGAAAGTCATCAAAATCTTGGAGTCCCTGGTCCACACCGTCGGTCTGATTCTAATTTCCACGATACTACTTCGATGCATCCTCTGTCATCAAGCTTCTTCCGATAGCGTTTTGTAAATCAATGTTTACGGTGAGAGCATGAGGTGTGGACATTTTTCGTGAAATGTGACACTGCATGTGCTGCAATCGACACAAGTCATATCGTTAGCTGTGGATACGAATCCCGGTGCTATGTAAATCTAGAATCACTTTTTCTTCATCATCGAAAAATACGCTCGCGTTCCGATGGTCATTGACGAAATCCGCTACTGGATACCAGCGTGAGCATGCACTGATGTACTGAACCAATCTTGAGTGGATCATGTGATCGATAGATTGAGCTGTGAACAAAGGAAACGTCCGACAACAGAAGGCGAATCATCAGGACCATTGTGAAAGGGTTTCAGTGATGAATGCACAAATAACCATGTGAATTTAAATGCAGTTGGCATCCAGATTTCTGGGATCGAATAAACGAAATCGAACGGACTTGGCACCCATCGCAACTGAACGACAAAACCTTGGAAAATACGGGTACTCCCATCACCACCAACAGCACGGATACCGCCACCACCAACCAAAAACACCACCACCAACATCATCACCATCAACATCAACACTAGCAGCAGCAGTAAGATAACAAAAGCTATCGATACCGAGAAAACAAACTTGCGTCTTGTTTGTTTCCCGTGCTTTATACTAAAGCAGCCCAAACCAAACTTTCGACCGCTCATGATTGATGAATACCTTTGCAACCGTTACTGTAGAGTGTACGGGTAACAATATGAGTGTGCAATTATATTAGTTGTCTTCTAGTTACCACGGGAAACAAAAAATAAATCACGAGACCGCTTCAATTAGCAAACGGAACAACGTACAGACAGAACGGGAGAAAGAGCAATGGCTATTTTACACAAATGCTTCACGAGGTGTTAAAGTTGATCATGGGACGCTGTGATGGATTCGTATTTGAATTTTGTTATCTTTGTTCAGCCTGCGTTCATTTGTAGTCATACAATGCCAGTGACGTAGCTTGCAAAAGCGCCGATGTTCAAAGTGTAAAAGTAGTATTCGCATTAACAATAATTAGTCAGCCTCGCTAATGTCACATCTCGCAGACAGGGCCAGCAACATTCCTCTTCATCTTTTTTTATTGACTTTGATTATCTCCCGAATTCATCACATCCTCTATACCCAAAACTTTCTCGCTTCCTTTCCACTTCTCTCACTGCACGCACCACAGATATTCAAATTCCCCTTGTACCTTATCTCGTTCAATAGGGATTGATTATGAGAGACACAATCTCACATGCTTCATGCTGCAGTTTCTACTTCTGTTACGTGTTTCCGCCGAATTCTTATGTAAAATATTCTTTAGAAATAATTTTACTGTGTGACATCGGGTGCTTGCTGCAGAAAAACGGACGTATATAAGCCACATTAGTACGCGTATACCCCGGTCACGTGTCAGACTTCTATCTCCCTCTTTCCTCATGGCTTACTCTACTGTGATATGATATGGTATTATTTTTATGCAGTAGGTACCAGTTGAGATGTAGGTAAATGATTGCAACAATATATAGAGTAAAGTCTCACAGTTTTGTGTTCAATTTTCCAGATGGCGTAAAAATCAAACTGATAAGTTCCAGACATAGTGTCTCCAAGGATTCCTCGGATTGTGAAATGTTTGAACAATTGTAAGTCGTTTGGTACTTGATGATGATATCTGAGCATCTGGTTCCCCCTCCCGCCCCACTTGATCGTTACTGTCCAGAAAACTAAAAACGTTTGGTTCTCTCTCTAAAATCTACCGATTTGGTTGGCCAGTCATGTTTTTCATCACAGGATTGGCACATCACCAAGCTCCCGAACAGTTTACCCTGGAGTTCTAAAAATACTGTTACTTTACACTTGTGTGTTAACAACTTTTAGAAGTGATCTTTCAAATTTGTTATACTCCTCCTCGTCAAGTGTACAAGACGGTTTCGTCTCATTTCAACGTATCCCCCATCAGATCCTGATCATGATAACCCTTCCGCGGAGCTTGCTCAAAATACCTGACCATGATCTCTTGCTGAACGGCTGGGAACAACTTTTTTTGTCGCATTC